GTGCAATGGATAAGCCTCGCCCTGGGAAAACCACCTTCATGATCATGGTATCTCCCCGGCCAGGTAAGTATTCAACCATGATTCTTACTGTAATATTATTTACAATGTCAAAACTTGAAAAACCACAATAAACATTTTTATTAGGGGAATAAGTAAATTGTGGTACATTCACTTAAATACCAAATAGCATTTAAAATTAATGAACTACTTCACCCAATTCACAATCTAAAAATAAATGAGTTAAATTACAGTAATGAACTAGTTATAATGTACTAGGTAAATATAGTTATATGTTATATGTTCATATGTATATGAACTAGTTATATGAAAAATAGATTAATTTTAAACAGCAAGGTACCAAAGAATACATAAAGCACAATATCATATTATGCATTGCTTAGGGTTGCATCAGAATACAGTAAACAATTAAGGCATAGACAAGAAATATATAAACCTAATTCAAAATAGGGCTTACCTTTGGGATGGGGGTGAGGGTAAGTATAGAGGTTGTGGTACTTTAACAGTATACTTTTCACAGTGAAAGAGAAAAATTGCCAACCAGTACTCTTACATCCATTCTATTCTTCTGTATATGAAACCCAAGATTGATGAACCTATGGGGACAAGTGGAGTAAATCCGGGCTGGGGTACAGTGGTGGAGGAGGGGGGTGTAAAAGACGATGTCAAGGACTCCAGGAAGGAAAGGAATGGGAACTGATTGTAGTAGCAACTGTACAATGCTGCTCCATGTGACTGAACTATGTAATGCTGTACGTATTAATTCCCAATCAATAATTTTAAAAGAAAAAAAAAAAATCTTATATCCAGCAAAATTGTCCCTCAAAGAAGAGGGGCTATTTCCAAGCAAGGACAAATTAAGGGAAGATGTGAACACACGATCAGCACTACAGAAAACGCTAAGGAGAATATTCTGCAAAGATAACCAAGGACAAACCTAAGCTCAACATACAAGATAATGCCACCCAGAAAGCAACACACTTAAAGCAGTATTAAAAACAGCACAAAGTTCCCCAGTCCTGCCTTACAAAT